TGGGTTTTTTTTTTTTGGTTTTTTTTTTTGTTTGTTTGTTTGTTTGGTTTTTTTTGTTTTTTTTTTTTTAAAGGAGGGGGACTGGAAGAGGGAAACAAAGTCAGTAATAACATAGTGATTGGCCTTTCTGGAACAGATGGTTTATCCAATATTGAGACACTATCACCAGCAGGGATCTACATCAGGGCTCCTGCCAACCACATCAAGGTAAGACGTTCAAGTATAAAACATAACATTTCTTTTCTAATCAAAGATATCAGAAAGGTAAGGAGCTTCATTTATCTGGGAGATCATATCCACAACATTTGCTTCTTGGCTGAGCCATCAGAAACTGGGTTTGTGATGGGATATTAAAACAAGTGCATATTGCAAAAATAAATTGTATTAATGGGCAAATTTATTACTGAAAATTTTACTGCATTTGAGTGGAATGAAATAGTTCATTGAGATCTTTCATCCTGGGATACTTTAAAAAGTTGGTTTATTTTCTAGTACTATGGATTCATAAAAACTGGCAAAAAGTTTGGGCTCACTTTCTCTAGAATTTTTTCCTACTTCCATCATTATAAAATAAAAATCTCAATTTTAATGGACTGATGACAAACACACTAAAATTCAGCAATATCAAACGCACATCTCTCTGGATTTAAAATGACAACTTACATATAGTCCAAGATTCTCATTCCAGGGTGAGAAGGAGAATGTGTTCCCTGTTCTATGAAAATGACATTGATTTTAAAAGAAACGAAGCTTCTCTATTCTAAATAGTGATAAAACATTGAGCTCATAAAAAAGACTCACATCAAAAAGTTAAGCTCAGTAAAAATCTTTTTATTCACTAATCCTCTGATGCTTTTTTAGTTCATACGTTTTTTCTCGTATTCAAGTCAGTTACATATCAGAATAAAGAGTCACTTTTAAGTGTTTCATGGAAAAAAAAAAAAGATTTTCAGCAATTTCAAACCATTTTTCCTTCCCAACTATTTTAAGTCTGGATTTTCATTGAAACTGACCTTTCTTATCACAGTTTCAGTTGCGACAAATGCACATTTTCATTTAAAAATAAAACCTAACCTTTTCTATTGCTAAACCACAGAAACCAGAGCAATTAATAACTGTATGTGAAGACCTAATCACCCCCTGGGCTTCTGCTCCAAGAGGAAAGAATTGCACCTAAATTTGAAGGTGAAAAAGAGACCAACACATTTCCTATGTTAGTATGAAGACAACAGTACTTAGGAAGAAGGAGAGGACTTTTCTGCAATTCCCTCAAGGGCATATTTATCATTTTTAAGACCATCAAAAAATGGTTAAAAAATACAACAACTAGGCAGAATCACATGAATTTCAGCTCCACTGAACACAGAGTTCTGTACTATCATGCACTGACTTACCCTGGAGCTGTCTGCTCGATTGCCAGTGGCTCAGCTTTTGAAAAGGTTTGCTGCAATTATCTCTACGAGTACGTGTGAACTGACTGTGGTCGGTTTTCAGCACATTTGTTGAGCTCTCTTGGTTCACATGTCCTCAGAGATATGCCCAAAGCTGCGTTTGTGGCTGTGTACCCGAACATCAGGGTTAAGTCTGCTCTCCAGAAGAGTGCTACTCAAGGCAGAATAGCAGATGGCCCTTGAAGGGTTGCTGATAAACCTCATTGTCGACAATCTCTCAGAGTGGGCTATTTGAGGCATTGCAGCAGCAAAAGGAAAATATGAACAAGTCGCCTAGCTTAAAATTGTTATTAGCTGCACTTACTGTTCTACAGTACCAAGCAGTGCTCAGCAGAAGACATGAAAGGACACGGATTTTAAGATAAAAAGTCACACTTCTTCCAAGCAAAACACCTGTGTCTTGTATACTTTTTTTTAGTACAATAATAATCACTAAATGCAAGGGATGCTGCTCCAGCACCGGCATCATGATGTTACAGAGTTTCAGTACCTTTCATCTGATCAGATGGCTCAAGAACTGGATGTTGCTTTTAGGTATTTATAATCTTAATTTAACAGGGAGGTTTGAAGAATGTAACGACAATGACTCATCTTCCCACTGCCTGGTTTCCAGGCCATGACATGGAATAGAAATTTCCCTCTCTAGATTTTAATGTCAGACAGTTGTTGGGTTTTGTGTTTGTTTTCAGATTGCCATCTTTCAGTTACTGGTTTTAAACTTGCAGGCTGCAATCTTTAAGGAAGGGATATCAGATAAAATAGAGAGCTCTAGGTCCATATTGATACATCTTCAGTGCATGATGGATTAAGCTTTCCACAGAGAGTCCTGCAATAATATTTTCGTAACTATTCAATTTACATGGGAGCCTAAGTTTGCATTGGTGACTGAAGAGATTAAATTTCCTTGAAAATCAGTGGTCTCCTAAACAGTATTGAAATTGGGATACAGCAGTCACTCAAACCTGAGCTTACAAAGACATCCAGAGACCCGATTCCCACTGGTTTCCATTTGACTTAAGCTCTTAAGTGCATTCATGAATCAGGCTGTTAGTTAAAATTTTGTGCTCATACAGCATAAGTGCGAAATGATTATTACGAGTTTAGTATTTTTTTTTTTAAATGAAGTATGAAAGCTCTGGTTATCACTTTTTAGAGTCATAAGACAATTTCATTAGCAGGCAGTTTTCCTGCCTTTTAAATGCTATCAGCATGAGGAACTGAAGATGCCCCTCTGATATTGGCTCTTTTGTCACTGAAGTGTATATCTTATGTCCCTGGTTTTCTTTTGGCATGCAGGGGTAAAAAAAAAAAAAAAAAGGAGTTTTTTTATCTTTTTCTCTTGGATGTCTTGGGCCCAGTGGGTTTTGGACCTTTTGTCACAACTTCCTATTCATAAACATTCAATGCCCTAAAATCCTAGAGCCAGCATGCAGTGCTCATGTATAACAACGTACAGACTGGGTTTAAGAAATTCAACAAGCATCCTCCTTTCCTTTCTTGGCATGCTGTTGAGGACTGGGTAACAACTTAAATGAATGAACAAGGTGGAGATCAGCCCTTGTTTCCATGTTAATGGAGTGACTGATGGTCATGCTATTGGTAAATGAATTTGTTTCCCAATATCACCCAACCCAGCCATTCTCCACAGTACCAAAGAGGTGAGGGTGCATCTGTTTAGCATTGATTGTTTCCCACCATTTCATCCCTACCGAGATCTTTTCTAAAACCTTCTGCAAGGGGAGCGCACATTGAAGCGAGCCCGTTGCAGCTACTACTTGCATCCTGCCAGGTTCTGAAACTGGGGGAGCGGTGCTGGGCACACTGTCTGGAGCTTTAATGTCATCTTTAAGGTCAACAGTTTGAGTCCCGGGTATCTAAAAGAAATTCATGAAATATTTACATTAGCAGCGTTGTACGGTTAAGAGACACTTAAAACGTCAGCCACTTTATTTTACTGACTTTTGATGCATACCTCCAGGTACTTGGCATGCTCAGGGAGGTAATTTCTCTCTGGAATTTTGGTTGCATGGACATTCGTAATATACTGACTTCCACAAAGAATTGATTTCCACACAAAATTCCCTGCTTGCCTAAAACCCCTGCCCTCCAGCCACTAGCTGGCTGAATAAATATGCAGGTTTTTTCCTTATGAATCATCTGTAGAACGCACGATTGGAGTCGCAAGTAAAAGATCCTGGAAATAATGTGACTGGACTGCAGAAGTATTTTGTTAAAGGAAAAGAATCTGTAGCTGTACTTTTGGGAAAAGCAGCAGTTTTACCAGGGAATAGAGAAAGCAGTGCTTTGGGTATTGATAACTTTGTTGCTTGACAGATGTCAGAGATCACGACTGCAGGGAACACACTTGGATGGGTTGGAAGAAAGTAATTGGTATATGGAGGCTTTCACCTCTAGGTCACCAGGCTCAGCTTTGATTTGGACCGTCAGGGACCAAAAAGTCATTAGTGTTTTAACACTGTCCCATGACCTATGAATGGTAGTGGTGGGTGTCAGTCCCGATCTTAGAGAACAAGCTCTTCTTACAGCTGCCAGAAAGCTCATCTTAGACTCCCCTTAGAGAACTAGATACCTCCAGAGAGCAATTAATCTTATCTAAGGATAGACCAGAAGAATTGCCCTCTGGACATGCCTCTGCCTTATTTTTTCCTGGAAAGGGAGCCCAGGTTTACCAGTCTGGTCTTCAGCATCAAATTTTTAGATATCTAAGGCAGGTGAGAAGGATTGTGGCCAGATGCACGCATGAAAATATCGCTATATGAGCACCATCCAAAACCAACTGGGTTTGGCTGCTGTCCTAATGAAGCAGGTAAGAGCAGTTTTTTTCCCTAGAGTAGGAAAGCTCCTAACCCACTGTATGTAACCCACATAACCCACTTGCTACAGGTTCTGTAAGTACCCAACTCTTAATTTTAAGGCCAGGCAGACCTTACGTTCACTTATTTTTCACTTCTTGCAATAACACAAAGAATGCAACTCTGTCATTTCTTCATTAAGAGACATTAAGTGACAATAACTTACAGCACATCTTCCCGTGGTTATTCACTTACCCTGTTAAAAATAATCCAAACCAAGCAATTTACCATAGATCTGAGTAAGTTTAATCATTCAACCACTGACATATCCTGAAGATGTAGTTATCTGTTTTCTCTTGACTTTTTGGGGTCTCAGGTTTTCAATGCCAATGCTTTCTCTTCCTGTATTTGCTTTGGGAGATCTGAGACAGATACAGATTTGAGAAGTAGATTAATAAACTGAGTAGTTTGTGATTTACCTTTCTTTCATGATATTGCGTTCCTACTTAGGAAGGATTTTGTAGAAATAAGAAGTTTTCCACACACTTTTTTTCTTACCTACTCCTTGAAGAATTAGGACAATACCATTTTTCTCTCATTTGTTTCTATTGCTTGGCCAGCCCTTGTTGCCTGGCTTGAGAACAGGTTTTTTTAAGACTGGCCCAAGGACAGAGCAAAAACAGGACAAGATTAAGGACAGGACAAGATTGAGGACACAGAAACAAGGTACCAGCTTCTACCAGCCAAACTTACCTGAATTTGAATGGACTTCAGCTGGGTTTTTAATTTGGGTTGTTCTTAAGTTTATTTTAATTTCCAGAAATCTGTGGTAATCTTTTTTCACAGTCACATATGCTTCTCTGCAGGGTAACACAGTGTGTGCGGCTGGGTACGGCTATTTCTTACATCTGTCCCCTGAGGGACCATCCAAAATGCCTCTCCTGTCCTTCAGTGAGAACATAGCTCATTCCTGCACAAGGTACTTGGGGATTTATGGTTAAAGAGATTTTCCTTCAGTGCATGTTAGCGCTAACTATAATTGCAGTGGTAAGCAGAAAAGGCTTTGCCCCTCCTTTCAGGAATTTTTTTTTCCCCAATTTTGCAGCCTTTTAGGGCTTCCTCTCTTGTAAGCAGAGTTCTCCACAGCAGAGCAGAGTCAGTGTTTGGCAGCGACGTGGCTGGGGATGTTTTCTCAGGGCCTGATTGCAAATGGTTTCCTTAGTAGTTTCAATACAGTACTTTTTTGTTTGTTCACCAGCCCAATCTCTTAACTTGCAGCATTTCTCTGTGCTGTTAACAAGCTCCTCCACTTCACTCCCTTGTTTAAATAATCCTGATGTAGTTTAGGATGTCACGTTTAACATATTTCCTCGTCAACCATTTAGCAGCAAAGCACTGAAGCATGTGCTCGTGTGTTGAATTGAAAACTCATTTTTAAGTACACCAGACGTTTTGAGCAGAAAAGGGTGGCATGCAGGAGAAGAGATACACAATTTCTTTCTTATAGTCCTCCTTTAACATCTCCTGCAGGCCATCATTACAGACTTGACACTGACTTACACAACCTGGAGTGGCATTTCTTACCTCCAGATACTTTATGTCGTAGCAGCATGAACTCTCAACTATCAGAATTTGGCCTCTGATTAAACAGGTCGAAAAGACTAATCACTTTGCAGTGCAACAGGATAAAAAGTGCTGCATGTCTGTCAGACATTACATATAACAGTTGTTCCTGTAGCATCCAGGAACAGCTACTCACTAGAGCTTTTGCCTGTACTTCCCTAAAACAGAAATGATAGTGAAAAATGACATTGTACTAGAAGTCAGTAGATGGAGTCACCTGAATTTTGAGGAAGCCTGGATATTAATCTGGATTTAAAATCTCTGAGAATGTCAAATCAAAGGCTGCATTCAGGAACGCATACATTTGAAATGTACTCCAAGCTGGCTGAATCCAAGATATAGAAAAGCCGTGTTTGTCCAGATCCATGTCAGGCTTATCTGAAGGTGATGCTGGTTGAAAACTCATGAGCATGGTGGGAGTGTTTTGCAGTGAGCACTTGTTGGTGGCACTACACACTGGGTGTTAGCTCTGACGTGACTAATTCTGAAAATACTTGAAAAGAAATTTTAAGTATGCTCTCTGGCATGATTAGATGCCTAAAATAAATATTGCTATACACTAGTTTTTAATTTTGTATTAAATGATAAAGTCCCATGCAGAGAACTGTTACAGTTTTAAGATTTTAGATATCAAAATGATGAATAGGAAAATCTCTTCATGAATACATGCACTGTAAAGAAACAGTCTCCTTTTCTTTCTTACCTAAACAGGTATGGGTTGCTGGTGTACCCGGAATATTTGCCAGACAGCCCAAACAGATCTGTTCAACTCCACAACTTTACAGTTTGGAGCAGCCAAGGTGGAGCACAGGTACGTTTCTCATGACTGCCCTCTGTGATGCTCACGATCTTTACAAGCACATCACCTCTACACTGACTTCATCTTTTAAGGCTGCATAATGGCCACAGTTACGGTAAAGCTCTTGTATCTATATATCCATTTGCCTCAGCTGGAGACTCCTGTTTTGGTGATAAAACCAGAAACACAATTTGTGTGAGCTCTTCTTACTGCTTCAGTGCAGAATCAGTGCAACTTTCATCAATAGCTGGTGTCCTCTGTAATCATCTAGCATCTGTCTGCCACTGTAATCATAGATTCATAGAATGGATTGGGTTGGAAGAAACCTTAAAGATCATCCAGTTGCAAACCCCTGCCATGGGCAGCGACACCTTCCACTAGATCATGCAGCCAAAAAAATCCTCCCAGTGGATCTGAGCTATTTGTAAAGATTGAAGTTGGTAGAGGATCTGTTACATTCATCAGGCTAATGGTTTCCATGGGAATTTTTTCATCCTTGTTAAAAATGTGAACTTTTTGTTGTTTGAATTTGTCTAGCTTCACATTCCAACTGTTGCAGCTCACTATTAGTCAATCTGATTAAAAAACCCACACCACCCTTTACTATCTGATACTTTCTTCCCATACTGGTGCTTAGAGGCTGTGATCCTCTTATGCCCTGCGTGATGACCTGAACAGATTGTATGTGTTTCTCTGTAAGGCATGTTTTCTAGTCTAACCCATACTATGGCTTTTCCTTTGAAGGTGTCCAATTTTTCAGTGTATTTTTCAGACTGCTGCATTCTCTTCCTGGAAAAGCCTATTTGTCTGAAAAGAAATAAAACAAAAACATGTTTTCCAGTTTTGGTTTTGTGATTTTCTCTACCTAACTTGTAATTTCTTTGTACGTTACTGACCTAGCATACATGAATAACTAAGTTTATTCTCCTTCTTTCCATGGGCTCCCTCTAGGAACAGTCTTCTTGCTGTTAGGTGACTGTAAACAACATCTCTGGTTATTTTCATGGCATCTTTCTGCTACAAATATTAGCTTCTTTACCCTGCTATTCTCTCCACTAATAAACCCGAAATTATTCAGAGTACTTTTACCTTGTTTATTACTGATTTTCAGTTCTGATTTTCTTTCATACTGTTCTTTTTTCTTTTGACATGAAAATAAGTTTGCAGAATGTAAAGATTTTAGTATTATTAATTGAAAGCAGAAATAAGAAATTAAGAGGAGATGTTCAAGTAGTAAATACACATCCAACACTTTTATGTGGTTTTGCACTTCCCCTGTCTATTATATTGTAAGTAAAGCAGAGTTATAAATCACAGTCTTTTTTAGAAAAAAATATTATTCCTTTATTGTGCTTTTTTATAGATTTTTAGTAGCAGCAACCTCGAACTGCAACGTTTCTGGATTTATGCTTGCAAAGACTTTGGCATTGATGTCATAGAAAGCCTGGGAAACACTTCTGTAGCTGATAGTGTTTTAATTGGACACACTGGGCAAAAGGTAAGCACTGCAGGAATTATTCCAATGTCTCTTGAGTTGCACAGCAACCCTTCAAACAGGAATTTGGAGAAATAAGAAAGCAATCTGAAGAACAACCTCTGCTCCATAGCAGCTTGGGCAAAGCTTGGATTTAAAATAGATGGTATGTAAAGATAAACACTTAGGCCCAGCTTCACATGAGGTTTGGACACTGATCTGTTTGCTTAGTCCTCGAGTTGTCTTCCACTTCTTGGAAAGAAGATGCCTTCAACAGCAGCAGCACCTGCAAAGGACATTGATTTGGTGATGAAGCAGAGAAAATTGGAGCATTGGTACCACTCTCCCAGCCTCCTGGAACGAAGGATTTTGTTGCTTCTGCTGGCAGCAGCATCAGAGAAATAGCATTTGATCAGCTGGATCCTGCATCATTTTTCAGGCACTCCATTCCTACCAGCTGATGGTAGAGCTGAATAAACATCAGCTGTTAAGAAACCACAGATTGCACTCTGCAGGAAAATTCAGCATTTTTCCCAAATGTCTTTTTATTCCAGTATGGAATTTTTGAAGATTTTTAAAAACAAATGTAGAATCATAATGGTTGGAAGAGGCCTCAAAGATCATCAAGTCCAACCAATTTGAAACAAGGACACTGATTTTTTCCATTCGAATTTGGAATTATTAAAAGATTTTATATTGTAGTGCATCTTCATGTATGTTCTTTATAAAACAACATTCAAAAGTAAAAACAAAACCACACTTCTCTTCAACTTAAGAGCTGAAGGATTTTAGTAAGACAAGTGTTCATTTTTTCCCTACTCACATTTTTTTTCCAAGATTGACATTGTCTCAGAAAACCCTTGGAATTTCAGAGAATCTGAATTTTTGAGAGGAATCATAATTTTTGTTTAAACAAGCTTTTCTAACATAAATTCCTATATGTCTTTTGTTGTAATAAACGGACACCATTTAACCATACACAACTGGGTTTAGTTTAGTAATTTGAGAATAATAAGGGGCAACAACAGATTTGATTTCTATCCCAGTTAACACTTTGGTCTCCTCTGCTCTCTCATAGCATCATTGGTCCACCTGGACCACAGAGTGTTACTTTTTTACTTGAGAATGAAAAATGCTGTCAGAATGTAACATTTTTATTTCTGCATTAAATATGATCTTCTTCCATTATTTCTTTAGGCAGCTGGACAAAGTCCTTTGGGTGCTACCAGGTTGCTAACAGATTAATAACATGGATAACAACGGAATTTTAGTTACAACTGGCCACAGAGACTTGTTCATGATTTTGAGGTCTTTTTTGCTGTACTCAGTTTTCTATTGTTGTTTATGAAATTAATTTTTATTCTGACTGACAGAAAAAGAGTTTTAAATGAGTTTTCTTTAGAAGCTTTCAGAAACAAACCTCTGTAGTAGGTCTAGTGAAAGTGTGTAGCTCAGACAAAATCCTGGCTTCACCAGTCCAACCTTGCAGTGTCCCAGTGATGCAACGAATTTCTCTCAGACACCAAAGGGTGGATGCTTTTGGTTTTGCTTTGCAGGCTCCATGGAAGGACTCCAATGTTGTACTTGTTAAGAGATTTAGAGGCGCTCAGCTGTGCCTTGTTTCTTGCAGTACCCCAAGGGGGTGATTATCTTTGATTATCTCATGATAAGAGCCTTCTTGTCATAATTTACATCTTAATTTATGTAATTCTCCCTTTAATAATGATGTCTCTTTAATATCAATTAAAACTTTATGACATTAATTTAATGGGAACCTTGGATACTCCTCTCTGCTAGCCCTTCCAGTTTTTGAAAGAAGTGCTTTAAAACAAGATTGTTTTCTGGAAATATCAGGGCATTTAAAAAATGGGGCTTTGATCAATTAAAATGTTAGTGGCAGGGCTAAATCCAGGGCCCATAAAAGCCAAAGGAAAGACTTTTGTTAGCTTCTTAGACATTCAGCAAGGCTCTTCCATGCTTTCGTAAAACAATTCGTTGTCCTTATGGAGCCATTTGGGGAGAAGAATTTCTTCCTGAAAAAGCAGGAGGTCTGAGATAGGTGACACACACTAGGGAGGAATTATCATCTCACACCCTTCTTCTATTTGCTAACTTAATTAACTAAAAAATAAAAAGATAGAAAGGGAGGTGGAATGGAAGAACAGGCAAGTGTAAGCAAAAAACCAACGGAGTCTTTTTGACAAATTTGTTACCAGAAGACAGGGATTTCTGCTTAGCAGTGACTTGGAAGATGGCCCAAGGACCAGGATCGTCACCCCAAATGTTTTGGCCTTAGAGTAAAAAAGGTGATGGAGCTACTGTCTCTTAATGAGACTGAAGACAGCACCATCTCTTTGAAGTAATAGTCTATTTATAAAAGCCAATTTCATTCTACATTTTCAATTACAGAGGATTTTTACACAGGGGGTGGATTTCTCGATTGATTCTCTACTACAGCTTTTGAGAGTTGTTCTACAAAAGTGTTTATTGGTCTCAGAAACAGTATCACACATTCCTGCAGCCCTTTCTCCTCCAGGCTACCCACGAGCTCTGAGCACATCCTTCTTCCCAGCCTGTCTCTGAGATAAATCGTCAGACAGATGTACACTTCCCCTGTGTCATGGCCTACAATCACCACAAAATCTAGTTTGTCCGTTGTGTTTCCCACCACTTGTGGGTTTTGTTCTTCCTTTCCGCTTCTTGTTGCTCTGATGGACCCTGAAGTCAACTACAACTTTGAAGAGAGCCAAGCTTAAATGCTTCCCCCCATCCCCAATCACACAAAAGGGCTTTGAATCTCAGCAATCAAGTTTTCCTTAGAACAGAAATTAGAATTATTAGCTTTGTAGAGTAGGAATATTTCCTGCCTGCTGGACAAGACAAGGTAAAGTAAATGGCGCTGTAAACATATCTGCTTGCTGTGCCTTCCAGGTGGATTCTTTCTTCCCAGGGAATGTGCAATTTCCTTTCCCTTCAGATGTCCAACCTGAACTACTATGCAACAACCCGGGCAAAGCAAACAAGGGAATCACTGCCCTGAATGTAATACTATCACATAATGCAAATCTTGAATTAAACTGATGTTACTTGTCAGAATTCACAAAACAATAGCTTAGATCTGTCCTTCAGTGTACATTGCCCCACAACCATGAGCTTGAGTGCAATCACATCCTTGTGACCCAGCTGCTGCGTCCTGGACTCATTAGACTTGGAGATTCACATGGTGATGCGTTTCCCAGTGCTCTTCATTTCTTCTTTGCAGGGTGGGACCTGTATGTCAGCAGGACTAAAAACTCCCAAAAGATATCAGCTATTCATCTCCAACACTGCTTTCAGGAACTTTGATATGAACACTTGCACAGCGATCAGGACCTGTTCTGGCTGTTACCAAGGGCAGGGTAAGTCTGATTTACACTTACTTAGCAGTATTTCCATAGTCACTGGCTTCCTCCTATTTCAGATTCGGGTATTTAGAAGTTCATTGTTTCCACAGACAATCATTGATAGATATTTCAGCTGAATCTCACAAAAAGCACCTTACATTGACGAAGAGTACTGGCCCAGTTTTGCTTCTGTAGTCTTGTCACTATGTTTGCTATAGGTTAATTAACAAGAGCTAGGTTTTGAGGTATTTGCATACCTACTCTCCTTAGGTTTCACTGTATTAACAGTTTTCAAAAGTGTCACTTTCTGTTTCACTTCCCCAACTGGGACAGATGGATAATAGCTCTTCCCCATTCACAGGGAGGTGGGGCATGAGATGATGGTATGTAGATGCAAGATAAAAGCTGTGCTTGGCATGCAGCTCAGATGAACTGAGAAAATCTCTGAGCTGGGATTGTAAAGATATACATAACAACCATTCCTCAACAATACTCACCCTCTTTAGTGTGTGCATTTTGCTGTTATTGCTGTTGGACTGAACCAGACCCTTTAGCTGCTCTGAAGTTGCAGATTCTCTCCAATCTGCCTTGTAAATAGCTTAATCACTTAGTTGAAGCCATGTATGGCACATATTTTTAAGACAAAAGCAGTCTTATTTTTGCACTGATTTCATTTTCTCAGTGGAAGAGGTTTTTATACACCAACTTGTTTCTGCTTCTTTTGGGAGGTAAAATTTCAAGACGGATGATTTCTTTAATAGCTATGACAGAACCTTGCAGAATTTCACCAAACTCCTACCTCAGGCCAGCGTAAACCTTAGATGAATTTGCTTAAGATAACGTGTAAACTAAGCATCCTTTTGAGCTTTGAAGAGGTACCCAAAGGCTCTTTGAAGAATGTTCCAACTGCAATTACCCCTTAAATATATTTATATAAAAATGAATACTGCCCTACAATAACATAACAGAGAAAAAGACTTCAGGAGGTGAGATCAAAGAACAGGAGGAATAGTAAAATCTGACTTAGAGAGGCTACAACTGAAAATAAGATAGTCAAGTAGTAACCAATGTGGTGCATGAACACTCATGCCAAAGTTGACTTGTTATGGTCCACAGGGCAATGATTTTCTGACATTTCTGGATATATTAATGTGTTAAAAAACTTCCTGTGCTTTAGTCCGCATGAATATTCCTCCTTTCTGTAGCTATCTGTGTTTTAGTAATGAAAAGATCCTCCAGCTACACTTTTCAGCCAAGGCTTTATTGTGCCAGGTGCTGTACATATGCACACAAGTATATTTACACATACATAAACAGTCCTTATCTCTGAAGAATTTCTCTTATAAACAAGGCAGAAAGGGTCTATAAGAATCACTGTTTTGGGGACTGTAACTTTTGGCAGTGAGACTTGTGAAGAAGCGTTTGGAGTCACTGAGGAGATGCTGGTAGGGTCAGGAGCAACACCCGGATCAGAGAAGTTTGTAACCACAAGTCCTGTCACAACAGGGTGCTGGACAGGTGGGACCTGGCCATAGCATGGCAATGGCAATTCCTACAACCATCTCTATCTATTTATTTGTTTTCCTGAATCTCCCCTTCTTGCTGACTCAGCAGACATTTTTCCAAGGCGAAGGTGAAATGAAGCTAGTCTCTTTTTCTCCAGAGATGTCTTCAGGCCTAGTACTTGAAGAGATCAGTCTCTGTTTCTGAAATGCTGCTTGTTCCCCCCAGGTGGGTTTACAGTGAGAGCTGAACGTCTGACCTTCATCAACTCGCCTTTCCAAGTGTCCTTCCCCTTTCCTCACTCTGCCATCCTTGAGGATCTCGATGGCTCTGTCACGGGGCAGAAAGGGAGTCACCTCCTCCCTCCCACAGACATCCTTGTGGCTTCTTGCACAGTCAGTGCCAACTTCAGGCAAGCTGCCGGTGGCAGTGTTTGTGGCAGCGACCTTGTTTTCCACCGTATGTCTCTTCATTTGTAAGTAACCATTCCACTTCTGAAAAGTTTCTTTGCTATGTTTTATATTGAGAGAGCTGCTGAGTCTGAACACAGTCCCAGGACTCCTGCCTTTCTGCTGGGTCCTAAACTAGGTCAAAAGCCTAAGTACTGATGTATATTAGTCCATGTTGCTGTCCACATGGTCTCTGGCACTGGTTTTATTCTGCCTACTTGTTCTCGCCCAGATAATTCTCAGGCATGGTTTGAGAGATAGCAGGAGGACTGTTCCCAACTGGTAATTTGGACGTAGGCATCATGTTTTTGGAAGGGAACTTAGTTGCATGGACAGCTATGAGAATTATGCATGCCAGTTGGCCTCCAGGCCAGAGGACAGTCTTTAGTTTAATTTGTTTGCTAATTTAGATATGGCCTGCCCAAGTTCATTTTTTTTCTGATGTTCTCAGCAAGCTGCTTATCTTTCTTACCTTGGTATCCTATCTATAGTCTTGATTCCTGTCCAGAGGCAATTCTGGCAGTGTTAAGTGGGTCTTTAAGTGGAGGCTGTGATGTATTGCTATTTTGTCATTCTTCAAATTACCATGGATATATAAACTGGCCTTTGTGGAAATAAGAATCCAGCTCAAGGTGGGGACTGATGCCCGAAGTGAGATTGATGACCAAGCCCCAGATAGTCAGAGATTTAGTGGGTGAATTGCAAGCTTTGCCAAGATTTTCTGAGTGGTGACCTACAAAACGTGAGAGAAACATCTCAGTTGATAATAATAATAAAATGCAATCTTTAAAAAAAAACCAAACCAAACCAAAACAGAGTTTGAATTTAATTAGATTTTAAGTCAAGTTCTAAGAGTGTTTCCTTTTACGCTCATTGTGAGACATTTCCCCAAATGCACCCAATGACTAAGTGGTCATGAACAGGGTAGATTTTCATGTCTTAAGGAGAAAATCTTTGCCATCTGAATTCAGTGCTATGTTAGTTTCATAAACTATCTAATTCGCGTCTTATGTTTTCTAGTAAAACTTCGTTCAACAGTTTATGGTTTCATGGGCCCAGCTCTCATGCAATGAACACCTATATTGTACAGAAGATATAATAAGTTCATGATGTATTTAATTAAAAGAGAACTTTCCAGTAGATATGTTTCTGCCACTCTTCTGGAGCCATGCCTCTCTTACCCACCGCATCAGGACTTTCTGGTCTTTCATTTTTCTGTTCTTTGCTTGCTGCGAGTTGAATTTAGTCAATTCAGATCATTAAACCTTATTAAGACTGATTCAGGTGCACAACCTAAGCAACCTGTTTCAGTCTATACAGTTATGGTTTCCCATCAACATGATGGGATCAGGCAATGGTACAAGGGAGATATGAAACTCAAGAATAAACTTTTATTATTGTGAGTGGCAGAACTTTTTTGGCAACTAGGTAATTGCTTTTACACAGGTCTACCACAAGTTTACAACAGAATGACACTTTTGAATTTTTTTTTTAATTTCCGAGAGGATAGAAAATGGTTTTGGAGAGTTCAACCTCCTACTGGCACTGCCTCATATCCCACCTTTGTAATAACCCAGTCCTGGGATACAGCTGGGTCTTTCCCATCAGCTTTGATAGTTGTACAACTCCCAGTTGCTGTCCCAGCTCACTTCTGTTGCTGCACTTGCCTCCCCAAGCTGGAATTGTTCCTGCCTTTGAGCAGCTGGCAGCTAAAGGCATCCAGTTCAACCAAGTACTACCACGGCTTCTGTTACCCAGGGAGGACTTTTGTAAATTTCTGGCTTTAAAAAAAGGGTGAAAAAGGCTTTCAGTGATCTAAACACCACTCCTACTTTTCTTCCCATGCTCATCTTTCCTTCCCAGTGCCCTGCTCAGCATTTCACTCTCTTTTTGAAGTACAAGTCTGAACCATTACCCATTTTTTGCTGTTTCAGGTTAGTAGTACACAGGCAGAAATCCTGAAGTGCTCTGTCAGAGGGCTGTTAATAATTCATGTCTATCTTATAATTCATGTTTTAGAAGAAGAAGGAGGAAAAAAAAACACCCTTCTCAAATAGGAAAAAAAATAATCACATGTTCCATTGTAAGGGGAAAACTAGAAGAGTTTCAGCTACCTGCGGGTTTGATATGTGATTACTGTTTCTCATAATGAAAACAAAAGTCTGCAATAAATTAAGAGATGGGAATCATTCTGTTTTAACAAAAAGGGTACTTGATAGGAGACAAAATACAACCCTGCTAGATGTCTTTCCATTAACTATGTTAACTGTGTTAGGCAAATAAATTCCCTTTCCAGTCTATGTTTACCTTGATTATATGGGCTACTAAATCTTTGGGTTGATGCTGTGTGTGTGGATGGAGCTTCTCGCAACATTACCTGTAGTGTGATTTGAGTCCTTTTGGATACTACCACAATGCTAATAATTCATGATAGCTAATGTAGTCAATATACCTTGTTCTTCCTTGCATCAAAAGGTGATTAAAGAGCAAGTACAAATAGGAGTTCATCTGCACCATTGCTGTTAACTCTGGAAATTTTTAAGCCCTGACCTAAACTTTGTCTTCCCAGTAAATACCTTGGAGTTTTACATTAGTCATATCAATGACTTCTCAATCAACCTTCTATTTCAAGCAAGTACCCTTTCTTTCCCTTCTTTATTATTCATCTGATTGAGCTGGAGTCAACTTACATCAAACATACTTGGCAGGCTGAGTAGCAGAAGCCAGCTGTTAGCCTGTCCTCTTGAGGACTATGTACTTAACAGAGTAACCTGAGAGACTGTGAGCATCCTCTCTGTGCTACTTCCAGATCCTCTCTCCTGAGTAGCTCCTACCAGCCAAGCTGTCGTCATGTTAAGTTGAAAGACTGTTGGCATGCAGCCAAGTAAATGTGGTGAGTCAGGAAGGCTTTGGTCACACAGACAGCACCTCAAAATGGACCTGGTAGATGAACAGAATGGGGAATGAAAGGAGCTGGAGGGGATGAAGAGTGAAAGTCAATTAATAAAATATCCACAGCATGAATAGAGGTTGAAGGGGTGGTGGAAGAAGAAGAAAGGGTGAATTTTGTCCAGATGTATTTGAAGACTGTTCACAATAAAAAGGGAAAAATCTAAGATTAATACAACAAAACATGAATAGGAGCAATTGGCAGAGGTTGAGCAGAGACAGTAAAGATAGGTGAGTGACAGGAATAATTTCCTAACAGTGCAGCCTGCTGGATTCATCTTCTCTCAGTAAAAAGATGAAAGTACTGTTGCTTGACTTTCCTTAGTTTCTGATGAGCAAAGAATTAAAAATTGCTCTGGAAGAAATCTTTCTGTTGTGCTCTACCAGGCCCTGGAGTATGTGGCTTGTCAGATCTACAGCTTGCTAGTTGTACTTACCACTTGTGGTAAGCCCTGTAGTCAGTAAAACAGGGATGTTATCAAAAACAGAGGTGAAATACAGATTACAAGCCTCTGAGTTCAAAGCCTTAAGCACTGAACCCACATTTGCTGATCATCAGGCCAAAGTAACAGCACAAGAGCATCCTCATTTTGAAGTCACACTGTACAAGGAGAAGGTTTCAGGCAATAGCAGTAAAACAGTCTCATCTCCTGTGCTCGCTCTCGGTCTAGAATGGTGCATTCTCCATGTTCCTCAATAAAAAGCATGAGGGGCTTGAGATGATGTGTTTTTCACTTCCCTTGAGTTTCAGGGATGGAGACTTCAGCTCCAAAAATCTTAAAGGCTAAAGCAAGTAATGGATTTTGAGAAGGGAGTCCTAGTATGGTAACCTCTATCTCAGCAACCTCAGGTTCATTCCCTGCCCCTGAGGGTAACTGGCAAGGCTTGGCCATGGCTATGTTATTAACCTTCTTAACCTCAAAAACATCAGGGAAGCTGTGTCAGTGCTGCCTTTTAGGAAAGATCCCCTGCCTGGGAGCTGGCTGGTTGGTGCAAGCTAAAAGCATGTCTGGGACCATTTTAATTATTTAAGTTACAATGTGGGCAATTGACTCTTTATCTTTGTGCTGTTTAATTTACCGGAATGCATGTAGTGTATTGACACTTTTTTTCCCCCTAAAACATAGGTTTGGAAAAAAGAAAAGGTTTTTGTAAAAGAAAACTCCCCCCTCTTTTTTTTCTTAAGAAAACAGGTACCTTGAGCATTTCTTGACTGTCCGTCCTGAACTGCTTCACCCAACAACTTCCAGGGAAATGGGGATCGATTTCCAAGCTTGCATTGATGTAACAAAAGCCTTCTTCACGAAGTCTAGTTGAAAGTTAAACTAATGTGTCACTTAAGCACCCTTTAAAGAGGGGGTTTATGTCTTTTAAAAATGTAATTGAAGCTTATAAAAGTCTTTATAAATTTATATGTGAGAAAGTTATTGAGTAGTCTGAAGAACAGCTTATGCCATGGCACAGCACAGCATGGCTGCAGGCTAGATACGGCTGCTCCAAATGCCACTGCTACCCATATTATCATGAAACTATGAATCTCTATTAATATTAAAACAAATTTTCATTAAAAAATTGTCATAACATGATTAAGTGACTTTAAAAGTTTCTTCACATTATGCATAATTTTTACAAGAGGAGAGCATTAGAATAATCGAGAGCCAGGAAGCACCTTGCGGCAAAGGGCACTCGAAACACTTTGCGGCTGCGCACACCAGAAGGAAGTTCGCCTCTTGTTACCTTTCATTTGTTTTCCCCTTCTCAGAGTGGAAACCTGGGACTTGCTCAGCACCAGTCTTCTAGTTCAAGCCTTTTATTGCTTCCCTCTTCTCTAGCTTGCTGCAGAGGAAAAGATTAACTTTCTTCTTTATAGCCTTAATTCTTAAATCTGGTCTAATATCCTCTCCTGTAGTGCATGCATTCAGTTGCTGCAAACCCAGCCGCTGCTGATGGGTTAGTGTGAAAAGAGTAGCATACCCCCTGCCTCCGTGTCTTTGAGTCTTGAAAAGAGTTGAAATGGTTACTCTAGTTCTGCTTTTCCTTTGATATTTACTTACTGTGGTGCCTTCAGAAGAACATC